CCCCAAAAAAGCTCAGAAACTCAACCAGAAGTAAAAAGAGTTCAACATTTTGTATTAAAAACGAACCCCCTCAGGATTACACTGATCATGTCTTTGTCAGACTTGACTCATTTCTTCTTCTTCTTCTTTTGAACAGCTGAGAGGAGGGAACATGTTTTTCTCATATATTGCAAGATCTAACAAATCCTCATAGCGGTTTCTATATTCTGTATTAGAAAACCAAAACTCATTTCACTTCAGACACAAAACAAATGCTCAAGGGAATTGGGAAAAAAAACACAACATTTTCCAGGGCTGGCCACAGTCATATACAGAGGAGCAGCACATGACAATCTAACAGGGATTCTATCTACATGAGAGATTGTAGATAGCTCTAAATAGTAATTCTGAATATCTGGGGCAGAGGGGGGTGGAATCAAGCTTTTGAAATGTACATAACAAATAAGTCTGTCTTCACTAGTTTTGACAATACCATGGCAGCTCAACTGCCCATCAGGTTTGCATTGATGCTTGGCACTGCTATGCATATTTCCACTGAAATTTCCCTTTGCTGTTGATTCTCTAACTCAGAAGTCCAACCTGTTGTGCATCATTTGAAACAACTCTCAATATAAAAGTAATTCAGGCAAGAGAGGTGAAAAGATGCTACAGAAGAAGGCTATAATTACACACAGGCATGCACCTCTCTCTTTTTTTTTGCACAACTTTGTGATGGCCTTTTCACGTCGTAAACTCAAATGAGATTTGAATAAGTTTTTGCTGTGCATTTCCATTTCCCATTAAAGATGTTGTGACTCCCTCTGCTTCACCAGTAAAATTGCTTATAACGGCATGAAATTGAAGCCCCCACAAAATAAGTGCAACCTGACAGGTCTGATAATGCAAGTATTGATACCGAGACTCGACAAGATTAAATTCTGCTATTTAGAATGAAACAGTTCATAATTAGGGCAAGGTTCTCTACGACAAATTTAAAGTAGACTCCCACTGAAGACAGTTAAAAGATCACTAAATGTGATCAGTATTTCAGAGCATAGGGAGGAAAAAGGTAGCAATAGCAATAGCAATAACAATAGCAAGTACAGTTCTATACCACTTATCAGTGCACTTAAGCACTCCCTAAGCAGTTTACAACATGTAAGCTAATTGCCCCCAACAAGCTGGGTACTCATTTTAGCGACCTATGGAAGGATGCAAGGCTGAGTCAACCTTGAGCCCCTGGCTGTTATTGAACTCACAACCTTGTGGTTTGTGAGTGAGTGACTGCAGTACAGGCATTTAACCACTGCACCACCAGGGCTCATGATATTTTATAGCAGAGAGCATTTATTTTACAAAAAACATGTCCTGGTAAAGGAACGCATCTATTAACATGACATAATCCCCACTTATCCATATTGTGCAACTTCAGTATGATTTGATTTGGGGGAGAAAATCAAGGAGTACAGTACAAAAAATCTATTACTCTCTCTTACCACTGCTTGGAAATAATGAGTTACAAGTAATGTAGTTACTTGTAATGAATTACTTTAATTTTTGAGGTAAAGTGAGTATAAGTATCATAAAGTAACATTAAAAAATAGAAGTGATGTTTCTTAGTAGTATATCATGTAACATCTTCCAGTTACTTCAGCATGTTACTTTTAATGGTACACTCACCCCTCTGTTTTTGTGGACTTGATGTCCATAGTCTAGATTCTTCACAGAGGGGCAAGCTCCATTGGCTAAAATGGCATGCACGTCTGTGGCACGCGTGCAGGACTGCATGCAAGAGCACACAGCCATTCAAGCCAATGGGGGTTGAATATTGGTGAGTTTCTGTTTTCATAGTGTGTGTGTGTCTGAAATGGACCCTCCATGAAAAAGGAGGGACAAGTGTATTTTAAAGATGTTTTGATAGGAACTTTTCAAGTGTTACATTATTTTCTTATCAAAAACCTCAGCCCCTCATAAATTTAAAAATCAGTTATGACAAAATAACTTGCCATGCAGCAATTTACTTTTAAGACATGTTAATGAGTAATGGCAATTAATGAATTTGCAAACACTATAACAATTAATGACAATAAGTTACTTTTATGAAGCATTTCCCAAGCTCTGTCCTTTAAGATGTTCAAAAATGGACTACTGGAAATTGTAGCTTGAGGGCACTGGGTCACAGAGAGCTTCTTGGCAGGTGATGTACCCAAACAGTTTCATTAATGATAGTACATACTAATACCCTACCAGCCTCTTTAGCACTATGGCTTTGCCAGATCTGCTTTGTAGGTTCTAACAAAAATGATTCTTAGCAACTAGAGTTATCAGCATTGAACCTAGAAGGAGATAAAAGCTTTTCTGAGCATGGGTTATACTATTATACTAACTGGGGCAGCATATAATTGCTCAGTGATATCCCAACTTTGAGTGTACCCACTCCCTCAGCAGTACAACACTCTTTAAACTAAGACCTGTTGGTATAATTAATGCATTTAGAAAAAAAGAAAAGAATCCCCACTCCATGATTATGCATTTAAAAGAACTCTGCTGTGTTTCGTTCATTTAAATTTCAAAGTGGATGTCAATGTTGTTTCATATCTACAAAGACAATTATTTCATGCACTGTCAGGTTACTTGCAAATCATCACAA